CATCTTCTTCTCTTTTTTTTCTATCCCACTTCTGACACCAATTTGTTACGTCTCCGTTTGTTAATTAACTTTCCATAACTTCGTTCCGACGAAATTTTGACGACACAAGTCCTTACTTAATAAAACTGGTTTATTCTTTCCGAATACAACTTTACGATACACTTATTTTCAACAATCGCGCTAAAACAAACGCTATATCAACGAACGTCAATAATACTTCTGACTGCAGTTCAATTACTCACTATCTACACACATATTACCTTCCCTTCCCGCGTCACGTTGTCACCCTCTTATATATACCAGACTACCCTATCTAGTAAATACTAGAGCATTCATGAAGGAACAAGATAGTTCTAACAACTAGAGGGCGCCACACCAGTCACGTGACCTCGATGACGCAACAGTACGTTATGATAATCAACAGTACACACAGTAAGCCAAACATTTTCGCCACTGTAAATCACTAGTAATTCTTTGCCCTCTAAACACGATTTCCGTTCAGATCTAATGAGGTAAGGTTTAATAACTTTCAGAAAAACACAGTCAAAAACTTTCTTCCTTCAGGATTTTTCACGTATTTTGCTTGATTTTTTCCACAAAAAAATTTCCACTGATGAAAGTATTCAATCTAAACGCGAACTAGATTGATTTAACTGTAAGTTATCACACTCTTCTTAGACAACTGAATAATTCTTTGAATACTTCTGACTTCTTTTTCTTGAGACCCCCAGTGGCACAGCGATATGTCTTATAACGCTAGAATCCGGGTTTCGATACCCGTGGTGGGCAGAGCACAGATAGCCCATTGTATAGCTTTGTGTTTAACTTCAAACAAACCACAGTGGCACAGCAGTATGTCTGCGGACTTACAACGCTAGAATCCGGATTTCGATACCCGTGGTGGGCAGAGCACAGATAGCCCAATGTATAGCTTCGTGCTTAATTACAAACAAGTAAGCTTTTTCTTGAATTTTATATATTCGAAATATTTTTATTGTAATACTTATAAAACCGTTGTCCCTCAGTTACACTGATAAACTACCTGAATTGACTTAACTTTTTAACGTGTCGGACCAAACTTTCTTAATAATAATAATAAATATATTTTTTTCAAATTTCTTTTGTTACCAGTTTGATGGCAATGGAAAAAAAAAAATCTCTAAATTACCTGTCTGCCCTTAATCTCTATGACGACTGAATTTGTTTGTTTCGTTTAAAACTCGTATATTCTAGTTTATTTTTGTCATATTTTAAAACTTCGCAAGTAAACTTTTTTTTAATCTGTGGAGAAATATTTCATTGACCAAATAGAAGCCAAAGTAAAAGAAACAAGAATATTTACATTTCAAGATAAAAATCATACTAAAAGAAAGTGTCACTTTATTTGATTAAATAAATATTCAAGTATTACCAGAGATGCCCCCTCTCAGTGGCAACAAACAAACCATAAATACCAAAGAAACAGACTTGCAATTAAAGCAATACTGGGTTTAAAAAAAAAACATTTTTAAACACATTCTACCAATTTTTAATTTATTCTAAAATTGTGAAAATATTGCTAATATAATCAATCGGATCGCGATGTGTTCAATAGTATAACAAGAGGGAATCCTCAATAGCCGCAGCACTTTAAATTCTTTTAGGCAGGATTAGAGTAAATTAATCTATGAGACCTTGAGCGTAGTCAAATAAATCAATCGAAAGGGTTTGATCTCCCGATTCCAAAACTGTAATCAGATCGCAAATCGATCAAGAAATGAAGGAGCTACGGGCTAAAAGTTTGTACTTGAAAAAAAAACAAGAAAAACTTGGAGTCGTTTTATGAGCCGATATGCCGCGGCTAAAAATACTGATGCTTGTAGTCATGCTTTGTAACTTTTCTGTTTTTGTGTGTGTATGTACACAAGTAATGAAATGATTACAAAAATATTATTACTATTATATATGGTAATGTATATTTAATGTTGCGTCACTTCACTCCTATGTTCCATTGTAAGACATTATACATCTTGTATTATACTGACAGAATTCAGCTAAACATAAAACATAACCACTCAGTAACATAATAATAATTTTAGATCAAAGCACATCCTCACAAGGCCAGTTTTACATTTTGTTTAATTTGAATTTCGCGCAAAGCTACACGAGGGTTATCTGCGCTAGAGTCCCTAATTTAGGAGTGAAATACTAGAAGGAAAGGGAGCTAGTCATCACCACCCTACACCAATTCTTGGGCTACTCTTTTACCAACGAATAGTGGGATTGACCGTCA